CCCCGCAGTATGGTTGCAGACTGATGAGTCTGGTTTTTGTGAAGGATGATAAATGAGTTAAAATTTGTATTCCGCTTTACTATATAAATCATATTATAACAGTGTTATAATTTTTAGCACACATGTATATATTAGTTTTGACAAAGTTTTGAAAACTAACCAATGGCAATGTTGGCGTCAGTTGCAAACGACCAACATCAAATCAATTCAATAGTTGTTGTGTATCTGTATAGTCCTTCAAAGGTCTTAAATCATTAACATAGTGCCTGTAAGGGTGATTGGATAACTTCTATTTAAAGTCTAAAACTCGAAAATTTGCATTGCGACGTACAGTACTCAGTAGAGCTAAAGACACTTGTTTCGTATTAAGGCGAATTTGACGAATCTATTATTCTATTATGCCTATAATACTTATACCTAATCATACCTTGCGCAACTGAAACGATTTCCAAAGGTCTAAAGGACAACCTTTTTTGAATTTGCCGGCTATATATGAAATTTGTACAATTATTGCATTAATGACATTTAAATGTTTGAAAACTCGTAAGTAGATACTGAATTTTATCCTGGTCCACCATGACCCTATGTTAAGCGTTTATTAAGTAGACTGAAGATAGCTGAATTATTTTTACCCTGCTAGTATATACAGTATTTATAGCCTCAGTTGCATTAAATCTCACCTTCCTCTTCAGAGTCCGTCGTGTTATCCTCACTATTTTCTTGTCCATCATCACTGTCGTCCTCACTATCCACCTCATCCGACATGGCGAAGACATCTTGACCCATTCTCTTCTTGTTTGCTGACAACCATTTGTGCAATGCCGTAACGTTTAAATTCTTTAATGGGCTCTTCGGTATATTTGGAAATGAAAGAAACTGCCTTCCTGGACAGGGTTCAAAGGGATTTACCTTTTGAATGACTTTAACCATTTCTTTCACCAACTCTTCTGTGCTCGCGTGTGTGTGGTGTGTCGAATCTGGCGTTACGTTGCTCTCTTGGTCGATCGCTTCCACTATGGTCTTCAACCCATGCGTTGCCGTAGTTGCTCTCTGAATTGCTTTTAAGGTTTTGTTGCCACATAATCCTCTTAAGACTTTTTTGTGATTTTTAACCATGGTTTCCATCTTTAGGTCATTCGGCATATTTTTACCAACTCCACCTTTGGTATTCACGAATTGCCCATGTATAACTCTATGGGCCTGTCGTTCGGTAAGCAGTGCCTTCGTGAACGTTAGTAGCCGCATTGCTTCAAATGCATACTTCATTCCACGCTTCCTTGCTCTAAAATAGAGCATCAGCAGTTTCCAATTCATCAAACAGCGTTCTCCATCACCTTCTTTCTCGGTATCATTTAGCTGCACGAGGAACACGCCTAACTGAATGACTTGTAATGCGTAGTTCATCACACCGTCTTCATTATCTGAGTCGCTAGAATTGTCTTCGCTTTCACTCCCTGTATTTGGTTCGGCAGGAGGTTTAATTATCGCCAAACTAGCTCGAGGCCACCGGACGAGTTGTCCTACGCTTGCTATAGATGTTGCGATATTGCTAATGGACGATACTTTTAGCTGAATATGTGTCGAATCTGGTAACATAGCCGGGTCGTCTATCTTTCCAGTGCCAAGTATATGCATTTGCTGCCCGACCAATTGAACCATCATAACTGTTTGACCTATATGCATGGCAAGATATACGATTAATCTAACATACAGTATAAAAAATATAGCTAACATGCATGATCCAAAAGATTCATTTGAACACTCTTTGAAAAAAATGTTGGTATTATAGTGATTTCGAGCACTTATAAACTGATTATCTCACATGTGAGATTATTTATGATAATTTCACATGTGAAAATTATCCCTTTTCTGTAAAAATTATCGCTTTTTAAAGACTATCCTTTATATAGCAAACAGAAAAATACTGTACATGGATGCTTGGAAATGCCAGATTTATTTCTCGTGTCGAACATGATACATGTTCTCAACACTCGAAATAAATCTGGTATTTCTGCGCACCCATGTATTATTTTCTATATATCTCTTCATATTTTCTAAGAAACGAATTGCATATGGCTTTTAGATGTCTACCTATAAATATTATAATTGTCAGTTGCCACTTGCCGTTTTTTAGTTGCTGAAGCGATGTGCTTTCTTTCCCGGAATCCTTTCTTTTTTCCACTTCTTCTCTTTGTTTCTTCTCGACGTCAAACTCCGCGAGAACGAACATATCCACGAATTTCCCAATGGTAGAATCAAGGAAAATTTTCTTTTCTTCTTCGGAACTGTCGCTTGAAGGAACGCATATCTTTGTGGGTGTCCCATCGAGATTCTCCAATCCCGCCCATGCCATAAAGGCGTCGCATAAATAGGCTTTCGTCGCGGACAACATAAGATGCTCAGCACTTTTGTAATTTTTTTTCACCTTCGTGTAGACGTTGGTCAGGCGGAACTGTTGTCGCAGATTATACAGAGTGCCTTGCTCTCTTCCTGAGACGGCATTGGGTCGGAAAATTTGCTCCCACACATACTGTAAAAGGAAACAAAACATTTCACAATATGTACAAAAATCAATTCAATCGACACTAGGAGCGGGGGGGGGGGAGGGGCGAAGGGGGCTATCGCCCCAATAATTTCTCAAAACCTTCGAATGATTGCTGATTAACTGTGTAACAAAGTTGTGTAAATGATTTTACAATCACAAAATCCTTTACAGGCTATATGGTAAATTTGCGTGATATTTAAGCCAAAACGTTTCTAAGAATTGAGATTTACCTAATGGCCCCGTTATCACATTCAAATTTGTAAGGAAACTACACACGTGGTAGTCGTACATCGTAAACGATAAAGCAGAGTCCGCGGAAAGCGTTTTCCACAGAATAGTGACTTTTTCAAGCGTTCTAAAATCGTCCGATGATTATTGCATAATGGTTCAACCAATATTAAATTAGACTGTATGTAAGTTTTTATAAATTAAAGGATATTTTAATGACGAGGTCAATATAATTTGTTTAACAGATTTTCAGTTTCGTATAACTATCTCCTGCGCAGATCCTAGCAGATATCTAACATAACATATCTCTAATATATTCAGCTGTGCTAGCATGCATGTAAGAATAATTATAAATTCTCACTTCTGTCACCATTGACTGTATAATCACTATCAGGGATCGCGGAGCCATTTTTGGATTGGGGGGGGGGGGCTATAGCGAATGTCGAAGGCTCCCCCGAGAAATTGTGAAGTCTGATACCTCCCATAGCCCCGGGAATGCAATCAAATTTACTAAAGTTTAGTAATAAACGACTGTTAATCTAATATTTACCCATGCATCATTTGCATGCTTGATCCAACCACAAATAGATTGAATACTTCTTGGCTATATAGTATACGTATAACTCATCTGAAAGATTTCAGACAGTATTATTAGTTTATAAAAATCACATACGTATGAAAAATTATTGGGTGGGGGATAAGGCCCACCAGCCCCCTCCCCCCCCCCCACTGTGCTCTGCGGCCCTGATATGCTTCCAACGGACAACATACCCCAAGAAATGACTGCTTGGTATGCCATTGTGCTACATTCTCAACGATGTGGTCAAATCTTTCAGTTTGTTTTGGTTGTACGGAACGATTGGAAGGCCAACTATCACGGACTTTTTGGACATTTCCTCCGAGAATCTGAATATATTTATATCAAATCAATAAGACCGTATATATAGTAATATACCGAGTAAGTTTCACCTATATCTGTCTGTCTGTCCAGGGATGTAACGAAACATTTGTATGATATATAATAATCGTAACAGAGCTTTATGTGACTTCATTACGCAGATTTTACCTGAAAATGTCAAAATTTAAACATGAATTCCACCCGAATTTTACCTGAGTTTCTGCACAGTTTGGGGGCGGGGGGGGGGGTTACACCGGTCCACACTCCCGGTCGCTATGTCCCTGTATATATCTGTCTAACTCGTAATGTAAATAAGAAGATAAAAAAGATTTCATTTACCTGTGAGGAATATGTTGAATAATTTCATTCTTTACATGTTCCAAACACGGAAAGAATTGCACGAGAACTCTCGAGACCAGAATGGTGAAATCTGCCCTCATCTTTTTTATCTCTTCGTCGTCCAATAGATATTCCTTGTTTTCAAATAATTTAATGTCAGACACCAAGGGTTTGGTGTCATCAAGGTGGTCAGAAGGGATTCGATCGAATGTTAAGAAATGCCCTATCCAGTGCATGTCGGAGTTTCGGTGATTAGGGAGGATGATGTTTGCAAGGACCATAATTAAAGTCAAAATTATCAAACATCACACGAGGTCGTCCTTCAGTTTTCAGAAGCTCCCGAATATCTTGCTTCAAATTACCACCTAGATCATCCACGAGATTGAGATAACTTGATCTGCTCTGACACATTCCAAACTTATTCAACCTCTGGAATGTCTGTGGTATCAAAATTCAGTCATTAATATATATATATATATATATATATATATATATATATATATATATATATATATATATATATATATTAATGACTGAATTTATATATATATATATATATATATATATATATATATATATATATATATATATATATATTAATGAATAATAATATATATATATATATATATATATATATATATATATATAATATATATATATATATATATAATATATATATATATATATATATATAATATATATATATAATATATAATATATATAATAAGCCAGCCATAAAGTGAACAGCCGATTTCTTTCATAAATTTCTTTCCGTTATAAATCAAATATAAGACAAATTTTCCAAAGCAGAACAGTTTTTAAAATAGCTTGCGCGCGAAATTTAAAAGTTTAAAACGCATTTTGATGAACGGGAAATTTATTGTTATTATTATTGGTCAAAATTTCTTACAATTTACTCAATTAGTCTTTCAAATAGCCGATGAAACTGTCGTTTTTTTGTAATTACACTAAGAAATTTGCTTGCGAACTTTTCAGTGGTTAGCTAGTTAGGTAACGGGATTTGTGAAATAGAGGGCCGTTTCAAAAGTGTTCACTTTTTCTATACACCATGTAGTTATCGCATGGGTGTACAGGGAGATCAGAGAAATTGGGGGCCTGGGGGGGGGATGGGGTGGTGAGGGAGTGGTCATTATTCATGGGGAGGGGGATAAATGGGAG